GCAAATGTACAACGTTTCGACAAGGTTTTGTCATACCTGATGATGACAAAACTTGTCGAAACGTTGTACATTTGCTTTTATATTAAAGTTTTTCTTCATTACCCATTCAAGCCGTCTCCAGCCGTTATTAGTCTCAAAGTGGGTTCATCGTCATCGAACTCCTTAAACGTAATTAAACAGATGTAAAAATATTATACATTTCTTTCAATATTTTTTTATTATGAGGGAGCTTCCACTGATGTATTATTATTAGCTAATTTGCTTTCATTTTACAATACAATCTTTATAATTTTTGAATCATGAATGAGGATTAGTAAATGTGATCTTATCAATTAAACCTGATAAAAATTACTACTGGAAGAGTATTTTTCTTCTTTTTTTTTGTTAATAAACAGCTTATTGCACAATATGGCTAAGAATGATAGGTATACATATAAAATAGAAACCTGTAAATCCTGGAGTGAAGCATAAATTCTGAATTCTTGTTTAACATTTCTATTTGCTCAAAGTAGAGTTATTTGCACAGAATGCAAAGTAGTCTAAGTTGATCATATTTTCTTATGTTTCAGGTGATATATTTTATAAACATTAATTGAAGAAACTAACATAAAAATACGTAACTTCAATTATTTTATTATATTTTAATAATAATGCATGGCAGAAAAAATTGATGTGATTTTAAAGAATTTAAGTATAAATGTAAACAACCAAACTTCAATTTAGAACACTGTGCATTCTTAAATTGCCGTGATTCCCCCCAGAGTTGCCTTCAGAAACCGCAAAAACAGGAGAATTTGAGAGACACCGCATTGCAGAGAAGTGTCTGGAGTTTTTCTTTCTTTGACTTAGTCTTTACACACACACAAAAAGGAGACTGGACATAGGGTGTGAACAATCAACATCTTTATTTTACACAAAATCAAAGTCCAATTTAATGCTAAAACGCTCGAACAAGTGTTTGTCTTGTTGTCCACTGGAGAGAGAGGTTTGTTTGGGACTGTGACAACACAATCTATTACAATCTGAATCTTACTCTCTGTCTAAACCTTAAATTTTCAAAGGTTGATATAACATTTATCCCCTCCCTTAAAGGCTGTCCCGGAAGTTCCTAACTCTTAAACTTAAAATCAATTTAAAATTCAAGTCGCACATCATTTAAGTAATCAAAGTAACCTGTTTTTATTTCTGAAAAGCACTTGTCTTACAACACTCTAGCAATAAAAATGAAACTTTAACAAAGATAGTCCATTCCCTTTAGGAACGGATAAAATACAGTAATACATAAAATGAACCTTTAAACAAAGATCACAAAGTAATACAACTCGTTAATAGTTAAAAATCTACTTACAATAAATAAATCAAAGCCACAAAGGTCCTCTGTCCTAAAATTCCTTTAGGAATAGAGTGTAAAAACTACGGTCGTGATCTAATGACATTTCTAGGCTTACGTGTAGTCACAAATGTATTGCCTGCAGACGTCCTACAGGGTCCACAAGACTTCAGGCATTCTTGCGCTTGGTTGTGTTCTTTGATGTCATCATTGCCATGACAATGGTCCACAGCTCTCCGGGAACCCAGTCACATCCCTCTCACTACTGTCTAGTTGTTATACAAAACATAACCTGAATCCCGTAGGAGAGAAATGGGGGCAAGACGGTAAACTTTGTTATCTACATAAGTAACCGAATATAAGTGGGTCCTTGCATGGGCGCTAACCTCGATTCTCTGACATTGTAAGTTCATTAACTCTTACATCTTACTCCAATCTTTCAGGGAAAAGTCGATCTAATTAAGTAAACGCTCAAAAGAAAAGCATACGGGTGTTATTTATTGCCTTCAGTATTATTGTTTATTATAATTCAGCCATTTACTGAGATGTTAAGTAAATATTCAGAGAACTACATTCTTTCATTAATATTTCAACCTGCATGACTGAAAAAACATCTACTCACAACCTAATAACACATTGGGTGCATCAAGTTTAACTTTGACATGTACCTGCTATTACTTGAGAAATTTTCTCTACTCACAAGCAATTTAAGTTGATCCAATTGAAATTTTCTTAGTTACTACTGGCAAAACAACAGGTCTAACTGTCACTCTTATCGTTTCCGTGAAGATTCATTATATGTCAGACACTTCAATGTCAAAACTGAAATATTCACTATTTCATATTAATGAAAGTAACAGACTCGCTTCAACTTCAAATAATGCGCTACAGGCAACAGTTACTGTTCACTTCTTAATTCGAGATCTTAACATTCTGATGAAATCCCTTTCTTCGTTCAAATGTTGTTTACCAGGTGTGTTTTTAGTCATACAAGTGTGCAACACCAAACACATAACTCATTAATTTTTATATTGCCATATACATATATTTCTACAGTACACATCACCACATATACTAGTAACCATAGGCATATTGCCTGTGATGTCGTGTGCCATTAAAGATCTGGCTACTCACGTAAATTCCGATAGTTATAGTGTCTTACCGTGCTGCCATCTGTGAGTAATGAAATTCAACATATGTTTAGGCACAACGAGATAAATAATCGTCAGAAAACTTTAACTAAAGTAAGACTTTTCAGCTAAAGTTCTCTCTTAGTCAGGATTAATATTAGCACTATCGCTAACTTACATATTAATAATAATCCACAGTAAAGTATATTTACCACTATAAATAGCTTCCGACACCAGTAATTGAATAAACTAACATGTTGTATCGCCATTCATGAGTCGATCCACTTGTTACTGTTAATGTCACAGAAATATAAATACGGACAAATCCAGTGAAATAAGAATCATTCCATTCAGGTTTCTTATAATACGGTTTACTTTGTTTGTCGACTGAGAGCACAACTCCCGTTCATTATACACGAAAATGCTATACAAGTTCACGGGTGTTTCTAGCGACGTTCATTACACATGAAGATGTTACACCATTTCACGGATGTTTCTAGTGAACTTTCACCACTCGTATACTGTATATCACGAAATTCCTCAAAATGCATCGGACGACTGCTTTGTTGGAGAAAGGCACTTAATAGCTCGGAATGTAATGGTCACATCACTCTTTTCGGTGAGTTGTTACGTATCTGCTTG